TCAAACTCATATAACTAAGTTCACATGACTGTCACGCCTTTGATTTTCTCAGCCCATTACCTCATGGGAGCTAACACAGCAGTGCACAGAACTCTACTGCTTGTACAACTCATCGGCATCAAGAGATTTTGGCTTTAGCTGGCACTCTGTACCACAGAGTAAGTACCACAAATTTTTATTATAAGTGGAAGCAATCATTCAATAAGCAATGCTTAGTTTCATGCAAACTGTGCTCCAAAGGGAATCAAATGAAATACTTTCTTTGGCTTCAGATGGCCTTGAATCAGGCAGCATGCATGGTATTAAAAATTAAGGAAAGAGCTTAAAATTAAAAAGAACCCACATTAATAGTTAGTTTCTTCTTCAGAAAGGCCTGTTGGGCTAAAAAAAGGAGGAGGATAAAAAAAGATCTTGGGTTTTTCTCTGCTGTACTAAAAATGGCATATTGTGTTTGGTCATGGAATAAATAGTACTCAAATATGAGAAGAATTGAACCAGAGTTTGAATGGAATCCATATAAATTTTAAGACACGGTTTCTTCAGGGGTAAAAGGAAAAAAAAGAGTTGTTTACTCTGCAAACCTCATAGGAAAATATAAATGGACACAAGTGATCTACAGAACTTCAGGAGAGTTCAGCCTCCTGAGGTAGCAAGATGAAAAGTAAATTGTTTTATTATTGCTTATCAGAAATCACAACAGCCCAAAAGATCATTAACAGCTCAGGACCAGAGAGCACCGAGGGTTTAAAAATAGAAATGTGTCAGTGCCTTGACATGAGGCTTATTCACTCTTAAGTTATTTAAGACTGCAAAATATTTGTAAGACAGTATCTTAGAAACACAATGACATGGAAATCCAGAAGATTCAGACCCGTACTGTCAACACAACAGGGTGGGTATGATTTCCTCCTCCTCAGATGCGCCAATCGAAGCTGCGTCTTTGCCACAAACTTCGGGTAGCAAAAAGCAGACAGTGTGTTTTAGCCGCTTCCAGCTGTAGTCTTTCCTACTATTGTCTGCATTTGCTCGTGGACTAAGTAAACCAGTATAATGACTTTCCTCTTTAATACATCGATACATGGGGTTTGGGCTTTTTTTTCTTTCCTTTGATCAAAGCGGGACTGGGACGTGGGGTTTTGTACTTACAATTTTATGGCAGAAGCATGCTCAGAACAGGTTGAACGCACATCGTGGAGATACTGTCAAATCAATGCAGAATTCATCTGTATGGGTACGATTACGAACATTGCTATCTTTCGTCAAACCTGGCCCATACTGCAGCTGTGAGTCACATCGAGGTATTTTCAGTTATTCCTTGGTCACTTCCAGATCCATGCTTCTCTGTGTTAACTTTCTTCCCCTCCACTCTCTTCCAGTGAATCCTTATTAGCATAGCCCTGCCTCAGGTCTGCTAGCGGTGAAACCAAATCCTCTTTCTATGTGCATCACAAATTGGAAAAAAAAAAAAGCTTTCATAAAAAGTACCACAAGTGCAGTGCAAATCTCTTTCTGGAAGGCATTCTCTTCTATCTAATCAGCTTATATCTACTGTTTTGTCTTTAAGAACTGACAAAACCAAACCAGTTACCAACTAGGCAGTGATTTACCTACTAGGCAGTGATTTACCTGCTTCTGGTTTTCATACCCATTATCTTGAAACAGAATTCCCACCTTTGAACTAAATTTCATTAGTTAAAGCATTAATATTTTCTGGCTAGAAAGGCAGAATTGGTATGAAGCCTCATGCTTTGCCTTCTCACAGAACTGTTAAGTGGGAGAAGGAGAAAAAATTGGAGCCAGCAAGTCAGGTTCTGAGCCCAGCTTTGCATGTACAGGTCCTACCAGGCAATAAAAATAGGACATTCACAGTGTAGCCATTCCATTTCCTCAGCTACTTCCCTTTGGAGCTGAGTTCCACAAGACACAGCTGAAGAAATCCCTGAGCTTCATTCCTTTAGTTTTACCGTCTCATTTTTTTTTTCTTAATAATGGCTACATTTTTCAATTTGAATGAACAAACCGAATAGTATTTTTCCTCAGTATGAGCTCATTTCAAATGTCTTAGTGAAAGCTCTTACGCGTTACGTTCTGCTAAATGCCTAAGACTAAAATCGGAAGAAAATGAAAGCTGCCAGGCTAAGATCCATCACTTAATAGTCAGTGTTTATGGTGCAGCCGCCCACATCTGTGCTAGAAGCCAAACCTCCCTTTGTACTCCCGGAGACAGACACATCTTAGGTGGGACTCATTTAATCTCAGTGTGGGTATCTCAAGCAGCTAGAACAGAAGATTTACCTTCTACATTGTTAGGAAGACATCTGTAAATGAAGTAGTCAATACCTGCAAACAAATCTCAGTTCTGGCCTCTGCTGTCTGAGTACACAAGGAGCACTGGAAAGGGCATCGCAGATCCGGTTTGAGGCAAACTGTAACACAAATTACTGTATTTCTCAAATCTAACAGTACTCATAGTTGCACACTCAGAGCACAAGGAGGATTGGGAACAGAACCTGTCCCACAGGAGAAACTCTTGCATATTTAAGTTTATTTCAAATAAGTGTTCAAAGAAAAAAAAAAAAACCCAAACTAAAACAGATTTAGTATATATTTGCTTTTCTTAAAAAATGATTCCATGAAAGAGTTTTATAGTTATCTAAGTAGTAATACAGTTTTTTTATATACAAAATTCCATTTCAAACAATTTACTGTACAAAAGAAAGTATAAGCAACCATTACTATTTCATGATTTCAGCAAATAATGAAAAATTCTGATAAGTACGTGTTCAGGATATAGTTCTACCATTTACAGGAATGTCAGTATTAAGTTGGGAATACTTTCAGATAAGTATTTACAGACGAAATTCCCTTTGAGGAAGTTCCCTAAGATTTCTCTTCAGAATAGGTAGTTCAGGTTTGGCTTTCTTCTTGATCTTTTGGGCTACCAAGGAATGAGAGGAAGAACACTTTTTCAACAAGATGTATGGGCAGAATTCTGCTTGATTTATTCACGCTCATGGTCCTATCGCAGTCAGTGGGCCTGATCCGGTAAACGCTTGCTACCAGGCGTAACGCTTATGGCGTGAATAAATCAGGTAGGATTGGGCCCTACAGCAGTAAGCTATCATAAGTTAGAAATTTTAAAAATAGTGACATTCCTGCAAGTCAAAATACAACAGAAACAAGAGTTAACAAAATATAAGCCCTTTATTAATAAAAATCTTTGGTTGGATCAATATTTTAAATAAGCTTCAAGAATATTTGGTTAATACCATTTTCTTTCTTCCACATAATTTCTTTTCAGGTACCTTCTTTGGACAGACTACAGAAAAATATCAAGTTTATCACATACTTTAAAACAAATAAATACATCAAAAGCTAAATATGGCATTTTTTTTTAAAGTTCTAGCATTAATCTTTAAATTAGTTTGGCAAAGAAAAAAGAAAAGGAAAAAAGAAATAACTAACTTCTCTTGAAAACAGCCTTTTGACGTTTGGTTTTGTAACAAACCATACAGTAGTTAGACTTTAAAGAAATCTTTCATTTTTATTTTATACTTTATATTTGTAATGCAAGTGCCATGGACAAGACAAAGCAATAAAAGAAACAAAGTTAATTGCACCAATATTATCTGGGAGTGCAGTTTGTCGTTTGACAAAGCAAAACTAAAATGTACTATGCTTAAAAAGAGCTGTACTGACGGGATTTAGCTAGGCTTCGTAAGGAGGGATTTTAGACTTATACTGTAAGGAAGCTCCTTGTACAAAAGATAGAGTATTTTAAGACAAAAGTCCTGTAACTAACTGAAGGTCTGGTCCTGTAGCCCCAGTGCAGGCAAAACTTCCATTGAAGGCAGTAAGTGGGACATGTTTTGGATTTACTCCTCCGGCACAGCCTCTGGGAAATGCCATTTGACAGCAGGAAAGTCTGCAGGAGCAACTGGCTGTGAAAAGCAGGCGCAGACTCCTTTCTCCTGCAGAAGACAGAGGGCTACAGAGAAAACCTGGCTAAGAAAGGGATGTGCTAAAACAACGGGAAAAAGGAAATTTCCTCCGCGACAACAGTGTCCGAGCACTAGGCAGGGCAGTGTGAGTCACTGTAGCTCTACGTGTGCTCGTGAATTCAGGGCATTTAATAAAACACTCTGTGATCATCTACCTGCTGGGAGGATCTCCGAAATTGTGCTGCTGCTGCCCGGCCCCGAGCGAGGAGCCACTGGGGGACTGCTCAATCACAGCTGATGCAGCCTGGGGCACTGAGGTAGCTTCATCCACATCAGTCAGTCATCGGTAAAAAAAGAACTTTTCCAGATTCACTTTTCTGATGTTTCTGAAGAGAGCAGTGCCCCGGGGAAGGTCTTAGGTACACAGCAGATTGCCACAAGTGCCCCAGGCACCTGTATGACTCAAAAGCTCTGCTTCTTTCAGACCTGCAGGTTCAAACGCAGATGTCTGCCACCAGAGCTCAACCCTATCTTGGAAAGCCAGTCAGTCTGGTACACTCTACGTGCTTCCTCTCCTGCCAAAAGGAATACCGGGGCACACTCTAAAGCTGATTTAGCATATATGTTACCTAGTTACCCATGGACCTTCAAGCCTGGGGTTCCAAAAATATTTGAAATTAATAGTAGTATTATTACTTCAAATTTACCTTTATTTAGTTAGCTAATTAATCGGCTAAGGTCAAATTCTCAGAGAATATCTCTATCAAGACGTACTAAGTACCTGCATTTATTAATGCACACCAACGTCAATAGTGTTATCTATCGATGAAATACAAAAATCCCCTGCATTACTGCTTGTGCAAAAGAAAAAAAACCAACATTATCTGAAATAGAATGTGGTCCTCCATATTTGTAAGAAGAGCATTTCTCACAAAGATGGGAGCAAAATGGCAGCACATCCTTCAACATGCACTGGGTTGTCCATTAATCGAGTCCTGCCCTTTACGCGATGGCTTGTGTATCAGTGGAATGCCCCGACATACTCGACTCCCTCCTCTTCTACACATCAAGAGGATACGAATGGCAGGAGGACAAGCTCCCACTGTGGCTCCTGGAGAGCCTGGGGCTGTGATTGTTACAGTTTTCACCTTTTTTCTTGTCCTTGTCTTTCCAGGTTTCTAGCATTTGCAGCTTCCCTTGCTCTTCTCTCATGAAGACCTCCACCATGAGAACTTTCTCTTTATGAATCTGCTGACTAATGTCCTTGGGAATGTCTGGGATAATCCAGTCAACAAAGTCACTCATAAACATGACCAAGTTCTGAAAATGAAATTGTGAGAAAATGTCAGCAAGGTCAAATGCAAGGATGACTGTTAGGGAAGGGGCCATTTTTGGTGTACTTGGGAAGGAAGAACGAAGAAAGGACAATATTTGAGTTGGGCGTATCACAAATCCGTTACTGAGCCAAACTTCTTGGTCATGCTAGAAGTAGAGAAAAACGGCAAGCACAGATCTCTATGATGTATGTACAAATACTGTCACAACCACTTAAATCCAAAATAATGCTGTCATTGATAAATGGCTTACGAGTTTTACATCAGAAAGGCAGAAGCAAATAGCGAGAGGTAAAGTGATGAAAGTTGGTAAAATACATTCCAATGAAATGTTTCTGATTTAAAAACCTTGATCCAATGAAAGGGAGGTCTTTCACAAAAAGATATATATTTTGTCCACCAAAAAAAAAAAAAGGAATAAAAGTTTTGAAACAAGTTGTTTAGATAAGGCAAACTTAAAACACTTGGGTCACAATAACCAGCATCACTGTTGTGATCAAATAATGTCATTTAGTGAAAAATTACAAGATTCTGCCTTCTTGTTCAGATGGGAGCTAAACTCTAACTGGGAAATTTTGGAAATTTCATTTCTTGGCTAGGTCTAGAAATAAGTTGGGATTAAATTTATGCTGCTTCAGTGAATTTGTTGATGTCCTCCTGGAGAAATTGGTGGGACCTAATTAGTATCAGCCTTCTGCTTTGCTGCTTACTAAGGTCGTTAACTTGCTACTGCTTCAAACCAGTTCAGGGAATCCCTGGGGATGAATTTTTCCACTGGGGGTATACCTGGGCCTGGGTGGGTGGCAGGAAGAGGGTGAATGAGATTGGGCAAATTTCTTTGTTCTTCCATGAAACAGCTGAGAAAGAAGGTATTTCGTTTGGCCTAATAACTTATTTCCAAAGGTGGCTTGCCTCAGGTAGCTGAAGAAATACAGTAACTCTTTTCCTTAGATAAAAAGTGCCTGCAGTGTAACCTACCTGGAAAACTATCACAAATGCTAATCTTGCTGCTAGGACCGCCCAGAAATCCTTTGAAATGTCGTACTTGTTTTCAGACCAGGGGGGTTCTCGATAATCTTTGTATCTGCAAAACAAGACTCAGTAAATCAGTGATGTCATTCAGAAATTTTAGCACCAGGAGGATTTAACACCCAACAGTCGAACAGTAAATCAAACCATCTAAAGGCAAGTTCCCTAGTACAGCATGATGTGGTAGTAACCTCAGAAACAAGACACAGCTGAAAGCCTCCCACAGCCTTCAAGTTTTACTCAAAATTAAAGATCTTCAACCTTAATACCCTCTGATTAGTACAAATAATATCAATTCTGCATAAAGATGGAATAAACTACCAAGCTCACATAATTTATTTGCTTTTAAGGCTGGAAAAAAAAATATGTTTTTCAGACTAAATTTAAAGACAAAAATACTGATCTCAGATCCATAGAGTGTGTCATGCTACGTAGTGTTCTCCTTGTTTGGGATTAGCAAAAGGTTGCAGCTAAATTTTGCCATATAGAGAGAGGGTGTATGGAAATTCTATGAGCTGATCAACACTAACTTGTTAGAAATGGGACCAAGAAAAATACATTCAATTTAAAACCACAGCATCCTATCCTGTCAATATTTTGAAAGAATTAGGGTTCCATATTTTCAAAAGACTTAAAAATCCCTGGAATATGGATGATGGGATGGGAAGAAGAAAGACACTGTGACTCGAAAGCAAATAAACCTGGCATTTCTGTATTGGACCGTGACACTTAACACTTCCATTCTGCAAGTTCTTCCCTCCTTGTTCTCCTCTTCCTCTTCTTGCCCCCTTTCTCCCCCTTTCAGTTTTGCTGGTCTAAGTGCTTTCACTGTTATATTTGGCTTTGATCCCCAATTCTAAGCATTAAAACATTTGTTTTGAACATGATGTGTATCTAAGGAAGCCTCAGCAAAGCGTGCCTTTCAGCACTGACCTACATTGCTTCATAAGCTGAAATACACAACAATAATTTTCCTTTAAAATGAAAAGAATATGCAGAAACTGTTACAGGCATGCGGATTTCCCGTACAATGACACTTTAAGTAGGTCATAAGTTCCAGTTCCTATTACTCTCATCAGGAATTGCTATAGAAACTGGTCAAAGAAGAGAACTGTATTGTGAAGGCATGGTCATTATATCAATAGCATATGATACAATGACATGACATCAGAGTAACATAATTTTGTTCCCTTGAAACATCATTGTGCTATTTATCATTACTTATCTCCTTTCCTGAAAAAGGGAATATATAATAATAAAAATCTTTGCATGGACATACACTGAATTTAACAATGCTAATCTCTATTTCCCCAAATAAGCAGTACTTCATAGTCGGGTTTTGTGGTTGCTTAACATGTAAGCCAAGACATTTAAGGCAATTGATCCACCTGATCTAAAAGGGTACCAAGGTGCTGGAAAGGTATTGAAAATACAAGGGACCTGCCCCAGGAATGTAAAAAAGTTGTCCCGTTCTTAGTCAGCTGTGAGAATACTTAGAATTAGTTATCATTCAAGAGAGTACCTGCATATCTGAACCTCGTAGCCAAGATCCATGGGGTCGTTTGGGGCTGTTCCTGCTTGAAAATCGCTGACATTAAAAGAGGATAGTGTATGGTTCACGAAGCCATGCATGGTGCCATTCTCACTGTACATATACAGGTACACGAGGCGTGGAATGAAGTCGGATGTGAATGAGATCACAAATGCCTAAGCCATAAGAGTAAAGAGTGAGCGCAATATTCAGGCAGTGGTTCAGTTAATAACATACTCGAGTCCGTCTTGCCCAAACAACTCGCAACTCAGGGGCTGCTTCAGAAAACAAGGGGGGGACACTGCAGCCCACGGGACCCTAAAAATGGAGCATTGACTGCTGCACCAAGGTAGTATTTACTGCTAACTCTTCTGAGTTGCAGAATATTAGACGGAGTAGTTCCATGCTGACTGAGATTTCTACGTGAATAACAACTACACCTCCCCGGAGAGCGCAGTGGCTGTGCCCCCCAGCACCAGAGGAAAGCAAAACACGGCGCTGTATCCCCATCTCCCAGCCACAGCTTGTCCCTGGTGCATGGTGTAAGGTCCAGCTGATGGATTTCCAAGTCCTTTTCTGTTCTGCAAACAGCTGACAGTGAATTGACTCTACATTCTCATCGCGTTGCACAAGGCCATCAATTGTATGGGTTTTTTTAACTCCATCAAGATAAAAGGATGAGCAGAGTGAGCCCAGTTTTATTTTTATGGTCACAAAAATTGCATTTTGTTTGGTTATTTAAAAAGGTTTTCTAAAAATGTAATACAGAAAATGAAAGACAGCCAATTCAGCTGACTTCTTCATAACTTCAGCTTTTCTCATTTATCATTATTATGAAATGTTCTCACTGGCGTAAATCTCATGTACATGTGGAACGAACACAGTACAAAATGTTTTACTTATTTTACGATAAAGAAGTGTAGTACATAGATCAAAGCGGGAAAACTAATGTTGGAAAATGATGAAGAGAGACTTCATGGAAGAAAAAAGAAAAAAAAACAGATAAATTATTTCAAAGGAAAAGAGGAGAAATGGTAAAGACGAATCAAGGCAGGATACCAAATAACCAAAAGAATGGTTTGGCCATAGCACAACAGACACCTGTGGGCAGAACAAAGGGATTTCCAGTCTGGGTAATGGCGAAAAAAATGAGAGGGCCCATGGACATGTGCCCGTAAGCCTTACACAGACCCCGTTCTGCTGCATTGCAAACATGCTTGCAGCTTCTCATACAGCTTTTTTTTTTATCTTTCCCCAGGTGGGGTGCAAGGAAGATAATTGTTGTGGATGTCTATTCATATAGAGTATTAGATAAGTACATAAATGAATATATTAAGGCATCGTAAAATCTTCTAAGAGCTGGGATGTTCACTGTTGAAGTAAACAAAAATATATTCATGGCTTTTCAGAGCTATCTGAGTGATAGCAGTGTAGTTCGAGGCCAGATTTTCAATGGAGGGACACTGTGCTCTGATGAGCTGAACTGACTCGCACCCACTTGACTACTGGACCCTAAAGAGGTTTTAGCATTGAAATAAAAAAATACATCATCTTAGTGATGGCATTTCAAAAGAGCAAAAGTAAGCATCTGTGGTCTTACTTGTTTGAAGGGCAAAACTGTTTTATGAAGACATTCCAAAAAAAAAGCTGCGACTACTTACTGTTCTATATTATTCCTATTGCTATCACAACTTTAAAATAAACACTGATTCTCTAATATTTCAGAAAATTTCTACTTATATGCTTGCACTTGATTTTAAGGGATTTATGCTGAAATAAAACTAATGGAGCAGAATGGAGAAGCCAGCCTATTGAATTAAAATTCTATTCATGCTGAATTACTTACATTTATGATGACAGCAAGCTTTCCAATACCTCTGAGGATATTATACCAGATTCCTAAGGAAGGAGACAAACATGTAAATGCCATTCAAGTCATTAAAATTAGATAAATTACATTTTTAGTTAACAGCATTAGAAGCACTTACGACTGTGCCGAACTGGAGTTGTATTTAATGACCTGTAAGTAAAGGGAGCCAAACTCTGTCTTCCAAAGCTATGTTTAGGCACCTATTTTTTTTTGAGGTTTTAAGCTGAAAGCTTCTTTGAGGAAGAGGAAGGCAAGTGTGAGACAGAGGAATGCCAGCATGGGCAGAAAAGAAAAACATCATGAAATTTCATTCAGACTTTGCAAATGCTTGAGGAGAATGCATGAAGTCCCACAGCTCTGCCCCTTCCCCTTCTCCAGAGCCCATTCCTCATGGAAGGGCTTCTCCAAAGTCTACATAACATGCTGGTTTAGCGTACACGGTCATGCAACTTTGTGCCTGGCCTCTCTAACAGCCTCTTAGTCATTAGGGACAACTTGAAACTTTCTCCTTAGCTGATGTACTCAAACTGCAAAATTCAGTCTTGATGGAAAAACCCAGTGCTGCTACCAGATCCATGTGGTTACAGCCCTGATGAGCCACTCTTCTATTCCTGGTCTGAAGAGGAAGGAAGATGTAGGAGGCTTTACACAGGGTGACGTCCCTGGAAGACTCCTCCAGCTTGGCCAAATCCTGTGCTTGATAACTAACTCATACTCCATACAGCTTTGGTCTTCTGGCACAGAATATACAAGGCAGCCTAGACAGAGTATGGAACTGAACTTCAGGAAAAGATATTACAGTATCAGTGGAAGCAGAGATAGACCTCTGTTTGCTGCCGGTGGTTACCCACCACCTTTAGCAGGTAGGACCTTCTCCCTTTCCTGATTCTGCTGATTCCTGCCCTAAAAACTTTTCTTGTTTGTCTGTGGCCATCTCACAGTCTCCGACTTTGGGATAGCTCTGAAAGAAGTGGGGTTCTTTCAGGCATACGAGTGGGATTGAATTGCAATAAATTGCAACTAACACCCTCTCAAAAACAAAAAAAACCCCCACCCTCAGAAAAATCCCACCGCAACCAAAAAACCAACAACACCGCCCCTAACATCTCCACCAGCAACCATAGCTCACAGCATCAAATGACCCAGCCATGAAACACCCCAAAAGCAACGTTGTGGTAAAGGCAATAGCATGACAAACCATGATGTGTTCTTCAACTCTAGGATCATCCTAGGGCAAAGGATGAGCCCAAGGAAAAACTCTGCTTGCACAATACCAGAATGAACACCGAGTTTGGTAACAAATCATAAACTTCTCTGCGCTTGCTGACTGGCTCTGTAATATGAACAATTATTTTAATGACCTTTTTACTCATAAGTAATCAACACCTGGGAGAAATAGCTTCCTCATTACGTATACCCATAGGTGTTACAGCCCCCTGCAGTAAGGGGAGGACTGGTCTGTCGTCACCGTACAACCTCACAGCCTCAAGTTGTGCCAGGAGAGGTTTAGATTGGACATTAGGAAAAATTTTTTCAATGAAAGGGTTGTCAAGCACTGGAAGGGGCTGCCCAGGGAAGGGTTCGAGTCCCCATCCCTGCGGGTATTTAAAAGCCTGGCAGATGAGGTGCTTAGGGACAGGGTTTAGTGGTGGGATGGCAGGGTTAGGGTAATGGTTGGGCTTGATGATCTTAAAGGTCTTTTCCAACCTAAACAATTCCATGCACCTCAGAGCCCCGTTCCAGCTAGATTCACTGCAACTTTCAAGCTTCACCCTTCTGACATTCACGCTGGGTAGGGACGAAGGGATACATTTACCCACACGCTCTTGAGTCTCCTCTCATTCCCAAGCATATTTCGCCAGCCCAGTCCAGAGTTTTTAAATGCAGAAATTTTTGCTTCTGCAATAAAACTGCATTGCCAGAACACACTGTTGATGTGCAGAACTATGCAAGACATTTCGCTATTGCATTGATCATTTTGATTTGAAAAGTGATGCTGTTTGCTTAATAAAATATTAATCTGAATTTAAAGCCCTGGCCTTTCTATTTTGAAAGTAAAGCCTCGATAAGTTATGACACTTCACAGTTAAGCCACAGTCTAATGTTTTGAATTTTCCTATAAATATCTTCCTGTTAATGAAACTAACTCAGCATAATAATATCCTGCCATCAATCCAGGAATAAACAAACAGGGATAACAATAGCAATGTGCACTTACCTATATCCTTTGCTCTGACTGCTACCGGTCTCCTCAGCTCAGTAACAAATTTTTTTGCATCTAGACGGATTTCAATGATATTGTTCAACAAAGCAAACAAAGGCGCCAGCGGGAAGGATGCAACAAACAGAGTTACAAATCCAAACTGAATAACTGAAAAGAAAAAAGCAACCGGTTCAATGGCTGTGGTCAGCATTTATTGAGTGTGAGCATCATCTCGCCAGTGCCACCCCCTCAAATTCTAACAAGATGACGCTTGCTGGGAGACTAAACCACATTTTCTGCATCAGGCATGGTTTTTGTCTGACCGCTGCTCCACTCTGGCATGGGAGGGCCAGCTGCCCCTCTTGCAAAACTCGGGGCTGCTGAGGCAAGGCAAAGTAACTGGAAGGATGAGGAAGCTCCTAAAACAATTTTGCTGTGAGCAAGGCAGGCAAGGGAGTGATCTGAAGAAGCAGGATTACGGCAGCGACTGTGTTAGCTCTACGTAAACTTGCCATGCTCCACCCAGGAGGTTTTTAGCCCTCGCTAATCACTTGAAGCTTTCTCTTCTGAAGAACAGAAACATACGGGCTTTGAAAAGGACACAACTGATTCTCTGCCTTTGTTGGGAATAACTTGCTTCCTACAGGTGGGGATCATATTTGCTTTTGTTTTGATGAGGACATCACATCAATGTCATACCCATCCTGGTATGTTTAAAGCCCCATCTTTCTCTTCCTCTGCTGATCTCACTAACTGCACCTTTCCTTATTTTTAGGAACTGACAGCATGACCTCGTAGTTTGTACCATTAAATTTCAATCTTCTTCAACTACTTTGAACACCAAGGTCATCAGATATTCTAATTTGCCTTTGCATTTACTGGTCATGCCAATTTGCAGTATTAGCATACTTCATTATCCTTTACCCCCATATTTGCCTAACTCATTCCTTAAAATACTAAATAAAGTTTATCTTTTAAGATGGATCCTTCAGCAATGTCTGATACTGTAGCAAACAGCATTATGTCAAACAGTCCTCGGCCTTTCCAAGATTGAAAGTAGGAAAAGAAATGCAGTTGTACAGCCACAGCACTATAGAGCTAATACCCAGTGCTTAATTTCAGTATCACTCACTCAACATAATACATTATTTGAAAAAAAAATTGTATGTGATCTGTCAAGTACAACCTGGTCTACAGGCACATATGTCTCTCAAAAGATTTAGTCCAGATTTCAGAAAACAGAAACAATCTGGTGTGCGAATATGCAGTGGAAATTGTCAAATCTGAATTAAGTAACTTATTTCCAGTGTGGGGTGCAACTGATGCTAAAACATGCCTCACAATCTCAAGCGTATGCCATTTAATCATTTGCTTTTGGAACTTGACAGTGACACGTCACATGGCTTGAAAGAAAATACCTAAAATATAGTGCTAAAATTAAGGGCTCAGGAGCAGCAGGGAGCACAATTCACTCCTGAAGCAGCCAGTGGTCGGCTGAAACACGCGACAGCCTGAGACAAAGCACTTTAATAATTAAGTTATGCCTCATATCCGCTGTCCACTGAAATCTACAGTGCAAAAACCTCAGCTCTCCGTCCCAATTAGTCAGAGTAATTATGGTTTAAAATGCCTTCATTCCACCTCACTCACTCATTTCCATGTATTCAGGGGTGAGTCCAGCAAAAGGCTCCAGGTTATAGTCTACTTCGTAACGCTGCTTTTTCTTCATGTGCTCTTCATGGTCTAAAGAACGCCGGCGCTTTAATTTCATGTAGCGTATAAATTTCTTCATTTTTCTGGGAGAAATGAAGATGATTAGTTAGCGTGCCAGACCGGTCACAGTGCCCATTTTTCAGTTATTTTACATTAATGGACACAATAAGCTCCATACCTATTTTCATAGAAACTGTGCAAGAGCCACAATATGCTAAAAGTATCAGCGATCAGCATATACAGGTATTAAAACATGGTTATAATTGAATTGCATGTTCAGTATTGCACCTCTTGCAAACCAGCAGGAAAGCAAGGTGTTGCCTAACACTTTTCAAAGACATTTGCATTGCTGGATGCAGTTGCAGCAAAGCGTTTGCAATACAGCAGACACCGGCTTACTGCAAAAATCTTGCAGGTAGCCCAGGAACCACATTCACATCAAGGGGCAGCAGATACACAGTGTATTGCATGCGTCGTAAAAAACACGTGTTTAAAAAAAACCCAACCAAACAAAAGTTGCTACTTACGGGATGCCAATCTCGAATAAATTGTTCTGAATCAGCTGCTTGCCCAACATGATGATACTGAGCTGGATACACAATTCCATTAGGCAACCGCCGGGAGCACACTAGGGTGGACAGAGGAAAGGTCAGTCAGAACATCTGCGGCATCCCCTCAGCAGGGGAAGATGGTCATCACAGGCAGGGGGAAACCACCATTACCTCTTCCATTCGGAAAGAATGGAAAATGTAGACGTAGTCTCCTGGACGTCCAACAAATCTAGGGCACAATGGCTAGAATTATGAACTTCATACTTATATGTTTTATATTTGATTCCTAAAGTCATTTATGTCAAACTCTATGCCTTTGAGTGGGACCACCTAATGTCTAGTCCTGAAAAAGCGAATGAGAATAATTATCTTTGGTTTTGTTTCAAAGAGTAAGACCTGTTTACTGAGTAAACAACTCAGTAAAACTGCAAGTCTTGAATCCTACAATATTATAGGCACATCTTGGCAGAAATCCTCTAAGGTAATCCTCATTTCTGTTGCGCTAGCCAGAACGTGCCACAACAGAGTATTAATTTTAGCCTTGTGCTTTCATGCTGGTTGCAAGAGAGATGATACTTGCTATGATACAAAGTCAAGAGTGGTAAATAGACAAGGGTAAATGGCCTGATGGGGGATTGTATCTGAACGTACAAAGTTATCTTTAACAAATTTGAAACAGTAGAGTACCAGGTCCGTGTTTTATCCCAAGAGGCTGCGGAGTTTTTGGGTCAATACCAAGGAGTCTTTAAACCAGATTTACTTTATTGTCCAACTATAGTCTTAGCTCAGCTACAGCTGTCTCATAAGCAACAAGCTAAAACCCCGGACAGCCTTTTGCATTACTCACCGGCCTTTGAAGAAAGCGACATAGAAAATGGGTGTGTAGAAAAAAAAGGAAAGCCTTAAAAATCAGCCGCTCTTCAAAATTCTTGTCAGTTTTTGGCACCTCTGGAACCAACATGACACGGGTAAGAAACGTTAAGGAATTATCCTACCTGGAACATTTCAAGATCTTATAAATGTGGACGTTGGAAAACACCAGCCATCTTTTAAACAAACAAGTATACATTTATAGTAATATATATGTATATATTGAAGCAGTATGGTCTCACTGAGGTCAGTGGTCAATCTGCTGAGGATCCCACTGTTCAGATGTGTTACAACAGCAATTCCAATTTCCTTCCACGTCTGGGTGACCTCCATGATAATCATTTGCAAATGGACAAGAATTTATCTGAAAAGATTTCTGTACCTTTTGTCACTGATGCTTTTTGGAAATGATTCAATGGTTGTTTTTTTTTTCTACAGTGTTTTTTTGCACCTCACAATTTTGCATTTCTCAGCATGTCTTATGCCAACTAAAAAATGGCAGAAAATGAAAACAGTAGTTGCGTGATGTAGAAGAGCGAAGCTCAAGATTAGGTACAGGAATTTATGCTGTATCCCTGTCACCCATAACTGGACTAGTGATTAGCACTACTACTGCTGAAAGAAAAAAACTTTTAAAATAAAGCCAAATCCATGTGTGCTTTGATATTTGTAAGCACATTTGGATTTCCTGGGTTTGCTCACCACTTGGAAGTTAATCACAAAAGCCAGTCATTTGGGTACTCTCATTGAAAATCACTCTAGGAAGTATCAGTTGAGGATTTCAACCTACCGATCTGAGTTAGCCACCTTGCGATGCAGCCGTATACTTCATCCAGCATGATGATGACAACCAAATTGATAATGACTGCGGTGGCAGTGACAGTGACCCTAACGCTCGACCGGCCCGAGGGAGTTGAACTGATTGCCAGCGCTGCTGCAGTTGAGATCCTGTATATGATGACTCCGAACACTATAGCAAACGTCAGCCCAACCTGCAAGTAAGAATAGCACAGCCTCTTGCAAAAGATTTAACTATAAATACTTTGCATGGGTTTCAGCAATGACTTTTAAAAAGGGATCTCTGGGCCACATCCCAAGTCCACCCAATTCTGCATTAAGGCTCCCAATCGCTCTGATAAACTGTGGGAAAAGATCCTCTTTTGCTACTAATTTGATCATCACATGAAAAAAAAATTGATACAATGATACCACAATCACATGCAAAAGGCTTTTTTTTTTAAAGGCACCTAAATGCAAACTACTTGCATATATTAAAAGTATTAGTGGGCTTCCTTTCAGCCCTAACAGCAAGAGCATATATACATGGTATTTGCTTTATTATAAAAGAAATCCAGGGTTGAAGCAGAGAGGAGTATTTCAGCTGTAGTCTGCACACAAGCCTTCAAATGCCCTACCCGGGCCTGTGATGCTGTCGTAATCCCAAACTGAAATTAAATCAGATAAATCTTCCTGGCAATGTCAAGGTGCACAAAATCTTACTCAATTTTTCATTGCTTAAATAGAGGAATAATTTTAAAACATGATTCTCATAAGGTACTGATTCTTCAGCTGAGAAGATTAGATTTACTCCATTTCATTCTGGAAACACAAATATTAAAAAAAAAACCACCCAACCAACCCCAAAGCAGAATCCCTATCCCAAAAAAACAAATGAACTGAGTTAGTCTGGTGTATTGTACCTTTAGAAAGGGCTTAAGCAAATCTGTTCCATGTCTTGAATTATTATTTCCTTCAAAATTTGTTTTAAATGCTGATGCTTTATCAGCAAATGGGAAAAGGCTGCTCTCATCATTATTTTACCTTCTCCTTGAATTATGTGCTCCGTTTGCAATTCTCCTCTTATATGGTATAACCCCAGATTTGACTGATTTATTAAAAATCCTTGCAGTCAGGATTGCAATTGGCTACATCATTTCTTTCAAAAAAGTTTGGTATAAAAATGAGGCCATTCTCTACCTCCTGACTACTTTCTGAGAGGACTCTCTACTTTTGAAGTGCATCCCATCAATGGTGGTGGTAATTTTCATTTCCATGCCCTCATTTTTTCCCTTACCCTATTTTGGAATTTTTATTTCTTTGGAAAGAGATGGCAAAGTAGAAATACAAGCTCTTGAGCAGATTTTCAATTATAAAACAATAAAACGTTTGAATTTTTTCCCTGGGGAGAAGCCATTGTGAGCCACATCAATCTGATAAAGTCAGTCACGGTTTCACTAACATTTCTGTCACTTCTGTTCTATACGATGACTCGGTAACATAAATTGCAGGTTTTGCTGGGTGATGCTTACCATGAAGATAATGCCAACAAAATTCGTTAAATAGGCTGGAAAACGATCCTTCCATGTCAGCTTTTCTTTATCTGTCTAAAATTTTGGGGGGGAAAAAAGGATACATTTAATGAAGATGGAGTGTGTGATTTTGCACGTGACATAAACAGAGAGGGGAAAAAAAGGGCCAACAAATACACAACCAGTTAGAAGATGCAAAGACACAGTGTTTACAGTTACAATTCCACACAGGCAAATTGTTTACGCCGTATCTAGGTTCAAATTGGTCAAGCGCCTGCACTGCGAGTATAAATAAACCAGATCTTCTGTATACTTTTTGAAGGAAAACATGCAAATAGTCTGTCATAAACCATGAAGAAGATCTCTCCTACTGTTAAATATTTTCTTTTGCTTTCCCTAGAAAAATTCTCCTTCTTCCCCTCTCCCTCCCCAGTTAATATTTCCAGCTTCGCAGTTGCACAACTGGTTCCACTGAAACACAGATTAAATATGCCACTGTGTAACTCCAAGATGAACGCACAGTTGACAAGGGAAGATCTTGTTTTGGTGTGTGGTAAGACTTGAAATTCCTTCAGTATGAGAGATTTTTAACTACCTGACTACCCACACGGTATGCAATGGACCATGCCAATAGGAGTTGCATGTATAACAACTCTTTAGAGGACGCCCTAAATTCAGTCAACCAGCCCCTGCCTGAATTTGGCTATGAAAATTTCATTTAGCACAGTATTGATCATCTAAAGCCTTTCATAAACTTTGATGCCGGGAATTGTTTCCAAACACCAGAAAATAAACAATGAAAGGAATATTATGGGAAGATGATGCACACGTTATAATGAACGTAAAAATTTTACTGAAATTCTATTTTTATTACATGCATGTTGTCTCAGGGAAGTGCAAGCAACTCTTTCAACACATAGCCCATGCTCCACTGCAAAACGTAACGTCAGTCCAGGATGGTAAATCTAAGATTAGCCATGCAGTGCCATTCCCAGTGCATGGAAAGTGTGTCCCAAAGAGTGCTGAAGGAACAGGGGAAGGAGGAGGAAGAAACCCAGAACTGAATGTGAATATTAAACAAAGTTCAACAATCAAAAACAAATTGATTTGTGTCTTCCATAATTACTCATAATTTGAGTTTCTTCATAAGTTTGAATAAAAAGAACCAATTTCACCCCAGCCATGACTGTCTTAACTCTTTGTCTCCATTTGTTCGCTGTCTCTTCTGGAAAATACAGATGCTTCTGATGGCAGTCAAAGGAAACAAAAAAAGGATTGGGCAATATAGCATTACAAAGCACTGCTGAATTAATCGATATACTCTACTGACTCAGTGTACATAGCAGTTCAGCCACGAGTGAATGCTCTATTAGTTTGCTTAAGGCTTTGTGTTTCAGCTTCAGGTTAATAAAACATAACAACAACAAAAGACAAACTCTTGCCCCAATTCTTGGGGTAGATCAAGCAATCCTGCAAAGGATATTCCCTTTTTAATTTAGGATTGTGCCCTTCTTGTTCCCAGATGGTGTCCAAAAAGGTTTTCCTTTAATTTTTTTTTTTTTTAATCGGACTCCTCTTGAAAAAATATGAGCAATTTCTGGTTTAGCTTTAGATATTTTCCTCTTTAAGAAGATTTCCAAGTTGTCGTACAACTGTTGAATTTCAACTTTAACACTCTCTATCCCAATGGAAGATAATTACTGAGTCTTTCAGAAAAAACTCCTTTTCTCACGTTTCCAAAATTAGTAACATCCAAACTGAACGCAGCCCAAAAAGTTATAAATAGTCTGTTTAAAAAAAAAAAACCCTCTCTTAATTGCTCAGCTTTCATGCTGCAACATTTGGAGGCCACCATTCATTAATTGTCTGATTACTGTAATCTTCCACATTTAAGATCTGAATTCCTAATACACCCTAAAGTACAGTGAGGCGCAGATTTTTTAGCAGAATACAGGGAAGTCTATATTCCAACAGTGTTTATCCAGCCAATAAAAGGGCAGCAACCCAAATTCTTTTTCTTCTGCAAGGGATTTTAAAGCGGTGCTGCGAGTAAGGTATTGCACATGACGCTGAACCGCTTACACGCTGCATCCTATAGATTAACAGGAACATACCACCATCGGCTCTGCAGCATCTTTTAAGAGGGGTCCAACAGTCCTCAAGTATAAGCACATGACAGAATCAGACACATTCAGTTTAACACCAGTCCAATCTGTCTCTTAGAGCATATTTAATATTAACATGGTTGTTGCAGTTGTATTTTCATAGGGTTTTCATAAAATTCCAATTTAGTGCATGGTTCCACACTACTGTGCCGCTGGCAACAGGTACAAAAGAGGAATTTCTGTCAACAGATTTTGTTTATGCCAGAGCATTTACTTCTCTGCTTAAAACCACAGTCATACGAATGGCAGAATTCTTGCAGTTAAGGGAGGAAATAACCTCAGGTAGGGTGGAAAGCAGTATATGGGGGAGAAAAGGAGCTTTTTCAAATTGGTCTGCTGCTGACAGACAGTAATAGGGAAGGAATTACAGCCTTCAGTGAATGGGCAGGGAAGGTGCTCATGGGGACCGCACTCTCCATCGGTGAGATGCTTGTGCCCCAGGGATGGCCAGCGGCACCTTTTTAATGACGATGTAAAAGAGCAAGTTAAAAAGCAGCAGTGAGCGCTACCTCATTCAGTGAGATAAAATGGAACGTGTGTTTTTAAAAGGCAGAAAGTTATTATCAGAGCTGGAATTTGGCAAGGAAATTGGTGTTAGTACTCTTCATTAATGCTCTAGTAATATTTTTATTTACAAAAAAAATAGTCTAGCGAGACAGAGAAGCTCTCCTGGGAGGGTTTAAGTACTTATACTAGCACAGAATAAGATGTCTTGCTACAGTTTTCTCAAACTTGATTTGTTAGCCTAACGTGAGTGCCCCTTCAGTCGGGCTCAATTAGCTTCCCTAAGCCGCGCTCCTGTATCTGATTATTAAAGACATTTCTAGACTTCATCAGGTCTTGTACGCTGGCATACAGTGACTATCCCACATACGCCAGAACCGAAGACATCTGGAATTTAAACACAACGTGCAGTGACTCTGTTTTTTACCTATTTCTTAGCCTTGGGTCAGTGCCTGCTCTGATGATTTCCTTTTCCAAAGCCTTTTATAAGTGAAATAAATGAGTATTTTTACCATACCTCTTTATGTTTGTGTTCTTTCCTCAGTGATTTTTCTAAAACTTTAGCTTCATATTCTGCTCTTGGGTGATCCTGTGAAATAAATCATATTTAATAAACAGCAAAATTATTTATTTTCTATATCAGCTATATATGAATTGTTTTTGCAGGTCGAGTTCCTGATCATTTCCAAGTTTTCTAACTGAATTCTAATTCACTCGGTATGTCACTTATGTCATTTGATAGTCGACTGTAATTACAAAAATGCTGAACCCTGTTTCATTTGCAGTACTACAGCAGCAACGGCAGAATGATCTGCACTGTCAGCCAGCCACATGCAATGCTATGTAGATTAAATTTAATACATAAGAGTATACAGCACGACCTGCAGACAGCACGTGTGCTTCATACCATGTGACATGAGGAACAGATTTTAATTACCTATCTCTTTGATAAAAACTAGATTTCGTTTGTCATTAACTATCATTTCAGCATTCCTCAGCTCACGAGGGAAACATTTATCTACTGTCAGTCTGCAAAATACTTGGCTTTGGGATCCCAGGAAACTTCAGTTGGGGTCTTCCCCTAATCCTGTCTTGGACAGCATCCACTGATTACACATGTGCATTGAAGGAGAGGGGGTAGGAAACACTCAGAAGTAAGAGACAGCCGAAAGAATCAGAAAGATCGACGGATTCAGAATTCACGATAATTACGCATTCACAAAAGATTCGAATTCACAATTATGCATTGGATGGGAAACAGAACGGAGTTGAAAAAAGTCTGAACAAGTGGAGAGGGGGAGGGTGTAAAGGCAAAGCAATCAGTGGGAGATCTAAAGAAAATCTGATGCTTGAAAAAGAAGAGGTGGAGATCAAAAGATGACATTCATCAGTAGACATGTAATAAAAAAGGTAGGAGTAATTAAAAAAAAAAAAGTGTTTTCCAAACCTTGACTGCCTCCTTCAGGAAACCAGAAAAAAACCATGAAAACCAAGAAAAACAAAAAAACAAAAATTTGATTACTGAACTGTTGCAGACCATATTGGATTTATATTTTTAAAATTACATGAAACAAACATAGGTACAGTGGATGGCTTAGACACTACCAGAGAAAATCAGTCTACTCATGTTCTATGACATTTATTTACATTACTGGAAGTATTGTAGGAAATAGGTGTCCCTACAACAACCGGAAGATGAGATACTTCAGGGTTTACTATATCCCTTGAAACCTCAACTCTTTAACGTGATATGAGCTTAAGTTTCACCCAAATCAGAAATAGGAGGGGCTTAAATTCCTTGCTAAACCCACCTCTCTAGAGCTGACTATACAAAACAAAGAATATACTTTATTAACAGCTGCTGGTTTAGCTGTGTAGAGCTCTGAATTCAGACATGAAGGGGATAGACATCAGAAAGATACAGTTAATCCTTTCCACTTTCTGTATGCTAACAACAAGTTACCAAAAATAAAAGAGCAGTATAGTATCCAGGAAATAAATCCCTATATTCTCTCCCAGTAAAATAGGTACGATCTAGGAAAGCGCATGGTGTAGAGGCTGCTGGCATAGCAAGCCTAAATATATTACGGAGGAGACAAATTTATTAAGAAGAGATCATTCAAGCAGAAAGATTTTGGGGGTGAGGAGAACAGGAACTGTGCCAGGCTCACCAAGCTGTATAGCGTTAAACCCAGGGCCAGTGAGCTTTTTGTTTCATGTGAGCAAGATTTGTTGTGTATCTATTTAGAACATCTAGAGATATTACAAGGGCTGTCATACTTCTTTTAATAATAACAACAGAAAAAAAAAAAAAAAAAAAGCCAGCTGGCCAGCAAACAAAGCGGCGGACGCCTGCACAACCCGTGGGTCCAGGCTCAGATCCTGCTGCAGGGTTTTCAGAGCGCAGCTCATCACATACAATGGGAAAATGGGAAAATGGGAAAATGGAAGGGACCCGGGCAGCTCTGCTGCCTCTGAACTGCAGTACAGTCCAGGGCGAGGCTGCCGGGACCGGGACCACTTTATGGTCCCAGCCGGTGTGTCTCCTTTTTTGTAAAGCGACAAAATGAAAAACAAAAAGGTGGGATACAGCTTCTCAGCTGGCTGAGGATTTTCTCTCCTTTCCTTCTAAAAACTAATTGATTTTTAAGACCTTTTTTTATACAGATTCATGCTATTTAGCACACTTAGTGTAAGCCTGGCTAGGGGTTTTTTGTTTTGTTTTTTTTTTAGCAAATGAAAAAAAAGAATCCACCTCCACACTGTGTCCCTCCCAATGCCCCAAGCCCTCATGTCTGGCAATATTTTCGTAAGTATTTTCCAAGTCAGGGCTTGATCCTGCATCGTTAAAAGTTAATAGGAATTTTTCAGTGCTTTTTAACAGTGCTGTAACTTTTATCAACTTCAATACATTCATTTCTGATTTACAGCAGTGTGAGACGAACGAGGTCCTTAGCTGTTAGCACCCTGACATCAGCCCAGGAGTAAGGTCTGAGCTGTATATTCCATGCCGACGCTGCTAGGTGTAACCCAACTACACACTTGAAAAAAAATTAGATTTTGTGGCTATACAATTACGTTTCTACGGCAACAAGACATACTAGTCATACCCTTGCTATAAAAACCTCAAATAGTTCATGCACAGGATTTTCCTTTCTTCTAAATGACGGAACCGCCCCAAGAGTGGTTCCCTGTGAGGCAATGTCTACAGGCTCGGGGCAAGGAGCTATCAGCAACGCCACGGCAGATGTCAAAGAGTCAGAACTGAAGGGACAAACCTCCTCCTCTTCAAACCCAGTCAGGTCCCACCTGTAGTTGAGACGCATCTGCTTTCTCTTCCAGTGTTCCATAAAGGTGGCAGCTGAAACAACAGTTTAACAATTATTTTGACATTTTACCAAAAAAAAAAAAAAATCGCATCAGCCTCTGGGATTTGTCTTTGGAGGCATGCTGGGCATGCTCCACTTCGCCTGCTGTATGTCTGCAGGCTCTCACCTCCAAAAGGTCTCATACACCAGGACAGGTTAACTTCATTTTTGTTGCTCTTTTATTCAACAGTAATGTATCTGGGAAATACTGATTAACAACGCTAGGAGCCAACATTTTTGTCTAGGCATGCTACAAGAAAGGGCATTTATAGTCAGGTCCCACCTGTAGTTGAGACGCATCTGCTTTCTCTTCCAGTGTTCCATAAAGGTGGCAGCTGAAACAACAGTTTAACAATTATTTTGACATTTTACAAAAAAAAAAAAAAATCGCATCAGCCTCTGGGATTTGTCTTTGGAGGCATGCTGGGCATGCTCCACTTCGCCTGCTGTATGTCTGCAGGCTCTCACCTCCAAAAGGTCTCATACACCAGGACAGGTTAACTTCATTTTTGTTGCTCTTTTATTCAACAGTAATGTATCTGGGAAATACTGATTAACAACGCTAGGAGCCAACATTTTTGTCTAGGCATGCTACAAGAAAGGGCATTTATTAACATCCACAGCTTCACGTAGAAAGATGCCTACAGTTTTTTAAGGGTGTAAGAAAGTCAGACACCCAAACTTATTTAGATATTTGTATGTGTGACTACTGATATTGTCGGTCTTCACCTGCATATGATTCCATCCATAAGTCCCCACAACCCTGTGTTTTACCTATACAAAACATGAATGATTTCACTAGCCTTGTGCTGATGGTATAGATATTTCCTCAAAGATACCAAGATAAAGCATTTTTATATTGTTATAATTACATCCATCTAGTGGTCATAATAGTGGTTCGCTCTAATCATCACACCCAAACTCAAATATTCATGCCGATGTGAAAGCTGCAGGTGGGCAGGCTGCAGAAGAGGAACCCTTTAAGGGCTTTTCTCATTAGAAACATGGCTATTTTCTTTTTGATGGAGAAGACTTACAGGAAAGAAACCTCATTAAAGCAATTCTTGAGTCCCAACGAATGATCCCGGTCTATATCAGTCTATCTGCCTCTGAGACCGAGTGAGTTCTCAGAGGACATATTTAGATGCTGGGAATACACCAGTGCTGTATAATAAATAAGTGAGTATGAAAAGAGGCGAGTCTACCAAGAAATGGTGTTCCCAGGGGAGTTTCCCACTGTGAGTATTAACAGATGTGCTCAGAAAAATTTGTATCCAGAAAAAAATGGAGGCGGGGAGAGGGTAAGAAAGTTGAGTAGAGAGGAAAGGACACCCTCATGACTAGAACCAGTCTACAGTCATGACATTCATTTGCCTTCCAAGCGGAACTCTCACATGCAAAACTTACAACTGAGCCCGTTTACAAGTCATAGGCTTGTAAATCCTGTAAATCGGGATGGCCATAGCTGTGTCTTAAGAGGGTCTCTGTCATGGTCCTGGAATTGCCTCCCCCCTCCCCGCTGCCAGCAGTTCTCATGCCGGGGGTCTGCAGCTTCCACATACAGCGAGAAATATGGAACACGAACGAGATGCCGTTTCTCAGTGCTACTAGGAAATCCTCCCGTGGCTCTGACTTACAACAACGCAAGATGAAAAGACTGCATCTGAAACAGCCAGCTCATTTTGGAATCTCTCGGCAAACGTGCCAGGTAGTGATGCACCACCGCTTTGACTGCATTTTCATATTCCATCTGGGCCCATACGCATCAGTGGAGCTTAAAAATGACCTAAGGTTACTGCCAAAATGATCTTATCAGGATTCTCCAACATTTTTAATGCCATTTAATACCAAACAGCATTGGGCCATGGTCCATGTTTAATGCTGAACTTCTGATCGGGGCTCGGTTTGGTGCTATAGCTGGTTTAACGCTCGTGTGAGTGGAGTTCTCCAGGGTGTTACAATAGCACCACCATACAAAGACAGCCTGGCCAAACGGTTGCTGACAATAATACCCCTGAACTTGGGCTAATTTTCTTGCTGTGCTAAGGATGCCCTGGGTCACCTGAGCAGGTTACTTGGGTCTGCCTCAACTCTTCAGCTGTACATGAACCTAATAAAACTCCTTGTTACATGCAGACGTGCTCACAAATGGCCCTGGAGACTATATGTTGCCTAGATTTAGAAGCGGCCAGTTTTTGTTGATACTATTTCCTTAAAAAATAAAGTGCTCGTTTCATTTTTCAAAAAAACATTTCAACAAATCCTTTAGAAATGAAATTTGCAGTAATGCAAATTCAAAACTATGTGGAAAAAGTTATGATTTTCCCAATTCAAAAAGATCTTTTTGAAACAACATTTATTTTATACGCTGTTGTACCACTATAGAATTTTATGTTGACTCCAAAGGGCTTGAGGAATTTCACATCCCACTCCAAAACTATCATCTCAGATATTAAGCTTGGTCTTGTACGGACCACAGAAACTGGCTTCTGCCAATCTCCCTTACTTTGCCTTAGAACGTAAAAAAAATAGATGGAGGAGCACACAGTTGTTTGCTAAGGAAAGGGAGGCAAACAGCATTACTTTTTGGACAACAGAGCATTATGTGCCGAGATCCACGTGGGGTTCATGGTAATGGTAAACGAGTGAGAACGAAACCGAATACTTGACTCTCCACGTGAGAGAATCAGACTATTTAAAGTCTCTGACACTGCACCCTGCTTTGGGGTATATCACATTTCTCCCTATATGCTACACGGCAAGATGATCCACAAGACAGTGGTCCCTCCTCTCTGCTGTGAAGCTGGTGGAGTTCAACCTCCCCCGCTCCCCTCCAAACCTGTGGCGCTCCCAACTCCCCAGTGTTCCCCAAATCCCTCTGCAGGACCATCCTTGTCCTTCCCCTTCTCCTTATGGTACTTGATAACAAGCTCTTAGCTTTGCATCTAAAACATCGTTATCTCAAATGGAGACCTTGGCCAAAAAGACACTGCTCTACAGTGAATTACATCGAATTGTACTAAAATCAGTTCAGATGAGCGTTAACATACGAACAGTTCCCTACGTACTAGCACAAACAAAAACTTGGCCTATGTTTTTTAGGATTAAGTATAATCCAAAACAGGTTATTTGCTAACTTGCAACAAGGCGTACAGGAGCGGCAAACATCACCTTGTGCTGCTCTCACTGGTGCCAGAAGCATGTGTCTATCAAACTGCGAAGCCGGGGGGAATAACGCACATTTCCCTGTTCTCTGTAGCCTCTCTGTACAGGGCTCCCAGTTACAAACAGGGGTTTTGGAGCCCATCAGGTCCCATTTATCTTACCAGGCCCTCTTGGCCCACGGCGAGGACAACAGGATGCTCCTCTCCTCCACCACCCGTGTCTGGTGCTGGGGTGCCCAAGCAAGGAGGTCCCCACTCCTCCTCCAGCAGGGAGGAGAAAAGCCCTCAGTAACCATTCCTGAAGACACTCTCACAAAGATTTCATGAGAGGCTTAATATTTTTAACCAAGTTCTACAGATGTGCCAGGAAAGGTTAAGTGATGTGCTCAAAGTACAAGGGCAGTCAGCATCAGAAAAAATACCTATAACACCGCTGTTCCTGCTTCATGGTCTACGTGCATGATGTTTGCCTGCTGGTAAACTTAATGCATCTCAGAGCACACTCAAGAATCAATCTTGGTTTGTCCTGAGACGCTACAGGCCATTACACTTCCCTGCGGAGCGCTCCCTGCAACCCCAGAATACATTAATACATTTCTCCTGTAATGTTCTAAAGTGGAAGCTGGCTCTGTAAATAGATTTTTTTTTTTTTTTTTTTGGCAAGCTGTGCAATCCCGTTAATGAAATTTTGACATACCACGCAGCAGTTTTATGACAGATGCTTAACAATTTCATTTGATATTCATCTTGAGCAACTCTTTGAATTTTAGCCTTCAGTCCAGAATATAAATTTGGGGGTGACAGTTTCATGGGAAAGAAAAAAAAGAAAGAAAAAAAAGAGAAGTTCTTTATATAATTAACTGCCTGAGTATAAATGCACCGCTTTATCTCTTCTGTTTCTTCCTGTTGTATTTTAAATAATTAAAAACTTCACATGAAAGCATATATCTTCTTACCCCAGAGAGCCATGAAGACTGAGAAGAAGACAGTTGCAGGGTTATCAAATAGATGACTTGCGCGAGCAGTTGCGCAAGCAGAGCTCATCTTCCAGTAGCTGCATGTTCTGTCACATAAGGGACACATGGTGATATTGTTTCTCTGGTCACACATTTCCATACTGCAGCGAAACAACAGGATACAAGAAAAAGCACAGTCAGTACGGCTCCATCTTTCCATGATCTTTTTTCCTCTGCACAGCATCTGTTTCTGGTCTGTAGGACCATCAGATGCTGCCCTCACGATGCCTCCCAGCTCCCGCCCCGGCCAGGAGCTCTGCCCATAACCCCACACCATTGTAGGGGCTGAAATCCTCAGGCAAGGCTGCTGTCTTCCTCTGTCCCCAGCCCTGCTTCTATCCCAGGGAATAAGAGATAACATTATGAGAGGCATAAGGCCCTATGCTTTTTACTATAGGATTTACAGTAAAAATAAAAAAAAATAAAAAAAATTAAAACCATTCTTGTTTTTAAATACTAACTAGAGCAATAAAATACAAGGGAAGTGCTGAGTATCAAGTGACTGGAGTTCAACCAGTTTAACTTCTCTGCACTCCATCTGTGAAGCAGCAACAGCGACCCTCCCTTTGACTTTCTTCAATGGTTGGAAGCAGTACAAAACAATCTTAATAAAGAGAGAAAATACATCTATTTTTTGATATTCATTATCTGCTTTGTTACTTGGTGCTCATGCTGGTTGTACAAACGATGTGATTGTCATCTACAGCTGATGATGCATGCAGTGTAAATAATGCAAAATCATGGGGCTTTAAAAATATTACAACACAAAACTTATTAAAAATCAAAAATAACAGGTCATGAAGATTTTGGTAATCTCACCACAATTGCTTATTTTAGGCATGCATAGTCTTGATTCATCTTTATGTCACACAATGCCCTCCTCAGCATTTTATGATGGGAAGCACTAAACCCCATCATTAGCAGTATTTTGTTGGTTTGTTTTAACATAATGATCTGAGTTAGGGGGGGGAAAAAAAAACCAACCCACACCTGAGCAACCAGCCAAGAATTATTTTTAGTACATCAATGCAAACTCCACAAGAAATATTAACAATAAATGCTAATGATTTAAAAACATACTGCGGTTCTGCTGCCCACTCAGCCCTCGGTAGCGCTCCATCGCCTACTGGAAGCAGCAATCGGTGGGACTGCAAGCTCCCCCATCCACATGGAGGTGGCTTCATTTTAAGCACAGCTTCCGAAAGACGAAGCGTGTGGGGTATGAGGAGGGGGAGTGGTGGGAGCGCACGGTGCTCCGGCCAGCGCCAGCTGGCAGACAGACCCCAGGAAACCATGGCCAGCAAAGGCGGACGGGTGCCGGGCTGCGGGCAGCACAGGGCAAGCCCCAAAAACCAGGAGGCACAGTTTCAGCACAGTATTAGTGAGAAACATCTCCAGAGCAAGGTAATGTTTTGCTTTGAGTTTCTAGTGGCCTCCAATAATAGAACCTGTTTATTTATTTCACCTTGGTATATTCTCATCCACAGTTGCACAGCCGTACAGGAAAACGATAATCCCTACAATTGAAGCCGGAATAAGCATTTGTGTATAAACTCCCAGCCAGGCAAAATATAGTCCAATCTTCTCTCCGAAGTATTTTCTGAAATACATTTAAAAAAAAAAAGAAATGAGAGAGAGAAATGTTTTGTATTTCTTAAAATATAACATGGCTAAAATTATGAATCACAGCTGGATTAGGCATGGAGAAAGTAAGATCTGATGACCTGTGGGAATTTTTTTCTTCTCAGAGGACTCTCTCATGATGCTTGGAGTTAATCCAGAGATACAGGCACCATGAAAGCAAGTCAGTCCAACTAGTAATCTTTTCCCCTGTGTTTCTGCTGTGTAAATTGGTATCTTTAGACATTCTGTGAGTGAATCCTCTTAAAAAAAGCACCTCGTTTTCTTCAGAGAGTCTCAGCTCTCACCACGAGCAAACAAAACTCATTAAAAATATGTCCCCTGCAAGCTTTCACACTAGGTGGGATACATCAACGCGTTTCTAAACTCCTTTTCCCCCGAGTGGACTTCCCATTCTCCAGCATCCCCCGGGGTGACACTGAGGAGAGCATCCCCGCAGGGACACCTGCACCAGCATCGTGGCGCACAGCTTCAGCGCTGCCCCGTGCAAACACGACATGAAGGGCTGAACTCACCGCACCAGGTCAATTGGCTGATACTTATAAAAGACTCCGTAGCTCGCCCACTCCTCACACAGGAGCTGTAGAACAGAAAGGCAAGGCAAAAGCTAAAGCTTTCACTAAAGCTAAACCGTGTACCATGAGTGTCTTCTCCTTTGGTTGCAGCAAACTGCAGAGCTCACACTGTGGATCTGGGTCTCACCACTTTGTGGTTTCAACACATATCTGCCAATCCATGCGCTCCTCGTTAAGTATTAAAAACAAAGTTGATGATTTGGCATGGTATAAAGCAGTGACGAATTCTTGTACATTAAAAGGCTCTTCAGCAACTGGACTGATGGATAACTATAGCAGGGACAGGGAGAGTAGTCCTGATTTTATGATCTGTAGGAGGTATCCAGCAGAAGGGATGTGAAAGATGAATATGCTTTGAGTTACAAGACAGAAAAAAACTAGAATAAGCTGGTTTGTTTTCACTATACTGACTACAACACTCAGCATCCATCAAGGGGTGCTGTGCAGAGGTGCCTCAAAGGCTGTATTTAAGAGTTTTTTCAGCTTTAAACTAAAAGAACACGATGATTTCCACTCATCCTTTTGGTTAGGATACGGGCCAAGGAAAACAATGGTCCCCATTAGTGATTTATAAAATTGAATCCCTCACAAAAATAGGTTCCTCTAAGACCTTCAATTTATCCTGTACTTAATAAAACATATAAATAGCGCTTCTCAGACCTGGGTGTTTTTTTTTTTCTTAGTTCAGTTCAGTGAAGATGAAGTGTGCTCACTGGCCACCCAGCCATCACCTCCTCTGTGGGATGAGGGGAGGAGAAGCTTTACATCTGCCTGTGAAGCACTGCTGCTCTCCCTCCTTCAACCCAGTGACATGAATTTGGTAGCAGGACGTTCACAGACCAACTACTGATATTTCAAGGAGATGCTTTGATGGTCACTCCTGCTTTCATTAATTCATCTGGCAATATCACCTTTTTCCTTTTTCCTCTTCTACTGCTCTCTCAAATGTAAGAGCACAAGCTGATTACTGCCGAGGTATTGCTTTTCATTGAAGATTGGGTAATAAAGAAAAAAAAAAAGGCAGAAAATTCCAGAGCTCAGTTACACCAACCCCCATCAGTGGGTGCAGGCTGCACAACCAGCTCAGCTGTGGAAGAAACTGCAACGGGGAACCAAGACCTAAACCAGTTATCGTCACAGGGAGGGCAACGTTATTAATCTTGTTCATGGAAGAACAGACCAAACAGGATGTTATTGCTTAAAGCTGCAGGCTATTTTATCATGAGAAACTTGACAGCTACCAGCCTCCTACATCTCTCCAGTGAGATGCAGCAAAGCGAGGCTGGCCAGCCCAGCCATCCCGCTGCTGCCCGTCCCCATCCCAACTCCCGGCGTTTTATCACAGGGAAGTCATACAGAGAACAGCAGTTTTGCAGTTCTGCCAAATCACGAACACAAACTTTCCAAGCTGAACTGCTGTACTTCTCATGCAAATGGCTTGGGTCATTCAAAAAAATACTTCTTTATATTTTTGACATCATATTTCTGTAAAAGTAAGTGGACTCTGGGTTTTCCCCTCCACAACCCAAAATCCTTAATCTTTATTAGTTTCCTTACAATAGTAAGAGCAGAAACTGAAACCTAAAGGCAGGCCCGGATTAAACAGCAACATTCCTGCAAATTTTATTGTTATTCTGCTTTAGGTTTCTTTCAACCCTGTTTTCCAAAAGTTTAAGGCCAGCTGCCTATGTCTGGGAAACAATTAATGATCTGGGACACCTCAACATCCATGTGCACTAGCTAAGATCCTCCCTTTTATTATTTTTTTACTCCATTTTTACGAGCTAAATTTGTGCTGGAAATTAGATTCCTTTTCCGTGATCTAAACTGGCCAGGCGTATCAGGAAAATACTAAGCTAAGGAGATTTTGCATCAGTGCCATGTTTCAGTTTTGTACAACACTTCAAACCAAATTTGTGCCTAAAGTACAAGTGAATTATCTCATTTATCCTGACATTTATCAGCCTGATATTCAAAGCACAGCTTCAAAGACATGATTAGAGGAGATCAGCGCACTAGCCCTAAATATTTACTTCATGTCTATGCCTCAAATCTTTAATTTTGTTGTTAAAAAAGGCACAAGCCTGGCCTAGCACTGGATTAGATTAAAGAAAGCTTCAAGAAACCAGAAGGGACATGCCAAAACACACCAAAAAATTATTTGAGGGAACTGGAAGTCAAAAGCCAAGGTAAACATTTCCAGACACACAGTGAACTTGTGAAATGAGTGAATTTGTGAGGTTTGAAAAGTTAGTAATAAAGATGATAATCCAGATGCTTTGAGAAAACGTGGACTTTCATCCTATTTTTGGTTGAGCAATGTGTTGCTTCATACTGTAATGAGAGGTATGTGGTATTTTTAACACAAATCAGTGGGGGGGGGAATAACAGTCGCTGTCTTTTGATGAGCCATTTGCACCTTAAGGCCCGGGAGACCTTTAATTTTGGGTACCTATTTTTGTATGACCAACCTGAAGGACCATAGTTCTGCTTTTCCTACGACCTGAATGTCCACAGCATTTCTTTGGAAACATGACCATGAAACAAACTGGAAAGGGAAACTTTCACCTCTGAAAGCCTGACATATATGGCACCCAAATTTAGTAGCTCTTCCTGAGAAGACTGGTCGTAACCTTTCTACTTCAGTTTTTCGCTGATAAAGGAAAAAAGCCTATCATCTGCTTTACAGAGCTGTGACAGGGAGTACGTAGTAATTGTGCTCCAAATTTAAGAAAACGTTTCTGCAAAGGGTGAAAAATTTGCTTTTTCTTACGAAAAGTATTTCCTTAGAGTAATTCCTACTTGTTTTACTACAATGAACAAATGTCTTCCCATACACAGACAACAGAAACACAAATGAAACCACCGACTTATGCAAAAAGTGATGCAATGCATCAGCATACATCCACTGGGCAGATTCTGGCTGAAGAGCACACATTAAAACTTTGCTGAGAATGTCTCATTTCTGATAAATATTCAACCCTTATCTTTCCCAATACCTTTTATGCTTATGTTTCCAACGGCCTCCCTCCTCCCCTCCCAGCCGTGATCCTCACACTCCAGACCAGCAGCACATTAACTCAGCAGAGGTTGCAGTGCTGAGACGGGAGCTCTCTGAGGAGCGACCCAGGATCTACATCACCTGCAGATACCAGAATGTGACTGAGCATATTCTCATCAGAGCTGGCCTGAAATTACGTCATCTGAACTTTCAAAGCTATACGTGAACGCTGTCCATACTCTTACCAACATGGCAAGAAATGTATCATTATCGAGCTTGGTGATTTATACATATCCATACTGCATTCCACATTTGGGCAATTTTAAATGCTGGGAAGTACTTCTGGTACTTCTGCTGCTTGGCATTTAGTGCCTTCTTGCGATATTTTCTGTGAAATCCTGGCAAACGTCCAGATTCCAACAGGTGACTCTTCAGGCCGGGACTCTTGTGAATATGTTAAACCCCCTTTATATCAACTTACTTTTCTGTCATTAGGTTCAACGTTTTCACCTTCATAGTCACCCTTTAAAAAAAGAAAATCTGCGTCATTCAGTGAGTCGCGCCCGGAGCTGCTATGCGTCTTGCATACCCATGTATCCCACTCACTTAATGCATCAAAAACAGAAAAAGCAATCGGTAAAATAATGCTGTATTTTAGGAGGTCATTTGTCATAGCACACTTTGTCTTCTGTCAGCAGGCACATTAAGAAAGAGTAATAATGTCTGTCACTAGGGAAAAAGGAATGAATAAGTGATAAAGGTGGCCTAAAAATGTCAAGGGAAAGGATGCGGTGCTGCCACGGTATTTGGGGTTCAGCTCAGTCCACTTGAAAGAGAAGAGACCAGCTGAGAGAGCTGATCCCTATCCAGGCTCTCCAAACACTCAGGGCTGATTAGATTTGAGGTTTTAATTTGGAGCTATTTTTAAATCCGATAAAGGAGTAAACTAAGACAATAAATAACTTGTATACAGGACTATCAGTAGCTGTCTAAAGATGTGAGACAAGTACATGCGGAGAAGTTTATTTAACCTTTCTGGATTTCTAAGCGATACCGCTGTAGTTTAAGAGTGCCTGACATTTATGATAAACATCAGGCAGATAAGGAGGCTGCTCTGGTCTCAGTTACACCGAGATAAAACACTCGTGGTCCCGTGTAAAACCAGCGCGTGCGAGGGGAGCAGAAAACTAGGGAGACATGCTTCATCTTCACATCCCACGCTGGAAAACCGGCACCAGGCTCGACGGCCCTTGGCTCACACTGCCAGTACATCGTGAGCAGCGCAGCTGCCACGTCCCCTTGACGTCTGTCAAGCCTTTCTGTAAGGGTCTAGCTAAGAGTGTGGGTTTGTCAGTTCTAGTCGTACCCTGAACCTCCAAGTAAAAATGTAATCCGCATCCAACTGCTGTGCACCTCTGGCAGGACAGGGACCCCCTGGTCGGGTATGAGTGCCACCAAAGTTCCCCACCTCTCTCTAACCCGCTTGATAAACACACTCTTTAACATCCTACTGAACTGCCCCAAAGCAATTTCATCAGTAAGAAGGTCTGCAGCCACATCCAGTCCCATGGAATACATTACTTCGAATTCTTGCTTATTGTATTTCGCTCTGGTGGCAACTAATTGCACGGACACACAGCCACCAACACCTCCGTGCTTGCAAAGGGGATGCCAGCGAGATGCCAGAGACCTCAGGAGCAGAAGGTCAGAAAGCCACAGAAGCATTTCATTTGCTAAGCCACCGAAACAACTCTTCTAATGTTCTGTTCAAATGTCACTTACAATCATCAAAGGTAGAACAGAGGTGAGGAATTCATTAAAAGTGAGCGAAGGGATGGACAAAACCTGCAGAAGTTCCCTCAATCATGATACAAGTGAGCAGGAAGTCAGGATCCGAACGCTCGTGTTTGGGATGATGCCACTCACACGTAACACATTAAGGATTTCTTGGTGTCAGAGAGTAGGCATGTAAAATATATTCCAAGATCACTTACATCATGCAAAGGATATGCGGCACTGTAAACTCCATTGGCAAGCAGGCTGGTGATCCCTTGAAAAATAAAGAGATAATAGTTATTTACAATTTCGAGGTTAGACAGTCTCACTTTATCATACTTCCTGGAGATTTCCCTCAAAATAACAGCCATTTGGTCAGATAATGATTTTTCTGCCATCTCATTCCTTTCCACATAGTTTCACTTTTAATCATACACGTTATTAAACGACTCATTTTATGAAATGGAAAACTGCAGAGAGCAAGAGGAAGTCATATATATTTGAGAATCAAGAATTAGAAGCCAATGACTTGAAATTAGTCATTAAAATAAATTACATTTTCTGAAAAGTCAGTTTGATTTAAGGGCAAGCCTGCAGATTTGAAAGTGTGTAGCAGAAGGCTCGATCACAAGAAGAATATGGCTGGAATTGATGGCATACGGGAACACGCATACGCACGCACCATCCACACAAAGTTTTGAATTCAGATTTCAGATTGATCAGTGAAATTGTAGCGAAAGCCTTTGCGAAGACCTTGGCGTAATATTTACCATATTTACCACATTTTCGTCTTTTATTTAAAAGGGTAGTTTCCTTCTTTCTTCCCTCTCCTTTCCCTGTTTACACATCCGTTTATTAGTGACATGCATGAGGCTGAAAGCAATTACTGCTTCATCTATATAATGTATGCGGCATAAGGGACTTTGTGGAGTCCTGCCTTCCCAGGTGCAGCACCATTCCTTAACTTGAGGCCAGAGTACGGGTGGGTGGCGTGGAGTTAACGTGTAAGTTTGGAGGAGCACAATGAGGAGGGGTTCTTTGACACCCGCTGTACCATTCCCAAAGGTCACTCAGCTGGACCTGGACCTTTGAGGTCTGTAGCACATTACTTCTCTAATGTTCTTGCTGCAGCTGCTGGCATTAATATAGCTACTTCCAGTTATGGAGTATTACCCACGTCTGAAGGTGTCGTGTTATCCGTGAAGCTACATTTGGGGATTCAACGAACCAGTCTGGGGTGTTGAATTGGAGCTAAGTCAAGTACTTGTCTTTGTGTGAGGCAACGCTGATTAATGCCAACTAAAAAACCCAAAAAACTGGCCACTGGTATAATGGAGAATATAAAAGGACTTAGAAAAAGAAAAGAAAAATTATGTGCTACGGTGTGCTCCATCTTGCCCATCGGTTCACTGCTAAAAGAGTGCGGGACTGGATTGGAAGGAACAGTGGCTATGAACCAGGAAACAGCTCACCGCAGGTTCACCGAGACATTTTTTATTGTTCTTGAACGGAGAATTTTTAAAGTTCATTAACATTTTTGAGATACTAATCACCTGCTGGAGGAACTGCTCCAGGAGCGCTCCGTATCCTGCAGTATCATTAATTTTCAAAGTCCTATTTAAGATTATACAGCACTTGGAATTGTCTGCAAATGTTTCCATGCTTCTGGCAGAAGCAACTAGTGAGCAGATAAATTATTTTTCTAGGGCTGCGCGACCAACTGAAGAGCTACGTAGTACCCTTCTACGTATCAGTATTTAACAACCAAGACAGGTTCATGTTTTCACAAATCAGCAAAATAAATAACAAAGATGGCAGTGTTCGCTGGGCAGCTGCCTTTTTCCTGCTGGGCAGAAATGTTGCAGCATTATCGGTGTTTGTTCAAATCTGTTTGCAACCTTTGCTGGGTTGTAACCCAGCATTCCAGCACTGGAATACAAAGGAACCGATTGAGTTATGCGGAGTACACCCATGGACAGGCTGGCCTAGTGACATTTTTATTAGGAATACTGTGTGACCTCGCCAGTCTCAGGTGGAAGAACAATCCAGGAATCCTAATGGTTTCCTTTCCTTTAGCCTCTGCCCTATTCAACTAATCTCTAATGTGTTTCTCATTTCTGGACCAAAAAAAAAAAAAAAAAAGGAAAAAAAATAAATCAAGTGAGTAACCAACTCCAAGGCAAGAATTCAAACTAAGCTATATGACCTTCCCCTTTCAAGAGTGCAAATACATAATATCCAGTGAAAATGATCCAGTGCCAGACGCGAAAAGGGTCCTGAAAGTCACAGATTAATTTGTATTTCCCATGCTACAGGGAAACAGTACTTCTGTTAATACTGGCTGAACACCAAAATTTAGTGTATATAAGGACTCAATGATTGTATGTTGTGTGTTGTTGCTTCAACAGAAAAGTCAAAAGCATGGAAATAATTTCTGGCATAAATATTCTTCTATTATTTGATGTATTTCTAAGCAGCAGATGGGTCAATATTGAACAGAACTACCTGTAATTCAAGTTCCCATTGTTTTATTTAACTGCTTGTAGGCAAATAAACGCTTTAACAGATTCCAACAGTTACCAAACATTTTCTCCCATGTTCATGCACTTTTCTCATACAAATTTGTTGCTGTTGGTTGTCTGTTAAGAAGCTTGGATATGAGGGAATTCAGCCTTCCACCTTATATAATTTGGGTTACCATTAACTATTTGTTAACTTTGGTCCCACAGCCAAGTATACACCGATATATCACGACACATATAAAATAACGTATATAACAGCTGAACAGAAAAAGCTGCTAACAAATCTTTAAGGTGACCTGATTTGCAATTTTTGTTTACCTGTATTATGAATTTAGCTCTTGGAGCACAAGCCTAAGGCTGAAATCCTAAAACAAACTTTGCACCTACCGACTTGCAGCAACTGTTTTGAGGGCTAAGAGATGGGCCAGTTTGCAATGCACGCCTGAGTCCGTGGCCATTCCACCGGGTTAAGCTCAGTTCCACTTAGGACAGTATTTCAGGCCATCATCAATTAAGACCATTTCACTCAAGTCACCGAAAAGCCACCCCACGATAAAAATGTGAGGTTACTACTTAAAAGGAAAGGGCCAATCCATAGGTTTTTCACTGCAGTTGTTGAAATTCACGGTAACACCCTCATCCCCTTCAATGAGCGTAAAACTGAACCAACACAGAGCACGTATTATCCACGGGTTTATATCACATCCAGTCCTGCTGCCAAGGACCAAACATATGCAGGGACTGTATGCTCGCTTACCATTTAATTTAGAGTCGAATCTATAAATTCACATTTGAAAAAATTCCAAACAGCTACATTAATTAGATTAAATTCCCAAATAAAACAATTATATCTACATACATCAAATTAGAGAGCAGGGGAAAAACCTAAACTCCACAGCCAGTTGCAACTTGCAATTATTTTCAATATCTGAAAACGATATCGATCTTAAAGCTAAATAAAGTTCCTTACCCATGCTATATTTTGCTTTGGTACATGTCGTTCTTTTCAATATTTCATAAACCTAGAGGAGTAAAATAAAAGAAAGGAAAGGGTTACTCCAGATACTGCCAGTGACAAGCACAATCTTTTTTGTGTACAGCTCAAATATTGGCAAAACCAAGATGCTGATGAAGTCATCGTTCTTTAATAAAAGTCATGGTATTCAGGAGAGCAGGGCTTAAAGAATTCCATGCTGAGTTATCCATACAAGAGAGAAAGGCTTAACTAAATAGCCAGCTACCTAGATAACTGATCAGGGGAAACAGGGTTACATTTAACCACTTGCACAACACTCGCAACTGCTTTTGCTCATGTTGGACATTGGTCAAAGATGAGAAGCCCTCTTCTACCTGGACTAGGTGGTGTGGCGGGCCAGCTCCTGCCTCAGCTCCAATGGTGCAGGCTGGCTTCACCCCGCGGACTTCAGCAGAGGTTCAGGCTCAAAACGTGTATGCAGCACACAGCCATTCATCAGAGACTGGACTAACTAACACAGGCTGACCTTAAAATTTCTGTGCTTGTGTGACCTCAGTGGCAAATCAGATGTATTTATTTTACGCTTTATCGCATACATTGTCAAATAACCTTTGCACCTCTCCCCACGCTGCCCAAGCGGTCGAGCTTTTGCCCAGCGCCGCTCCCGTGCCACGATGCTCTTGGGCGAGGCAAGGGCTTGGCCAGCGGGAGGCTGGCGGGGAAAGCGGGCAGCGGAGGAAAACCACAGGCAAAACCACCTGCTGCCCATGGCCTGGCCTGGCTGGGGAGGCGCGGCACGGTTCCCTGGGGATGCTCGCTAATCCATGCGCTAACTTGGCTGCCGCTTTGCCCAATGCACGGAGGGAAGGGAGTGAGGGCATCGGAGGCAAGCCCTGCAGCTCATCTGCCTGCTGTTGGCTTCTAACTCCAGTGAGTTAAAGGGCTGTCGCAGAGAGATTTCCAGTTGTATAATGCTTGGGGGTTTTGTGGTTTTTTTGTGGTTTTTTTTTTAATAAGTAAAAGGTCTTTGGCTTAGTTTTTATTCATCAAAGATTCACAGGGAGTGACTAGATTCCTGTTCATTTTGCAGAAGGCGGAAGGGTCAATATTTGCACTGTGGTTTAAAAATACATATGAGAGAGGCAGGAGAGAACTTTAAGAAACACGAATACAAAGAGAAACGCACGCAAGGTAAAATGATGCTGGGAAACATTCTATATCTTTTATTACCGGGTGATTTATGGCGATTTCAAACAAAGCAACATAGGACCAGCATTATTGTTATATGCCCAGTGTTCCTTGGGTGGTTTAAAAAACTCTTATCCTCTTCCTCCCAGGCTCTACTATAAGCCCCTTTTGTTTCAGTCCTTTTTGCAGTTAGTCTTGCTCAGCCTCTTGTCCTCTGGTGCCATTTTTTCTCACTACCTTTCTCAGAGAGCTCGCTGCAGTGAATTTTAACTTTTCATTTGCTCCCTTAAGTTTCCTGTACTTACAAGTTTTTTTTACTATACATCCATAAAAGAAAGTCTACAAACAAAAGCAGAGCTTTTGTTTCCGATCTCAAATGACACGTTTGATCGCAAGTAAACCAATTCAGCGTTCATTTTTTTTCTTTTCCACTTCTGTGCATCTGCCTTCCCTGGTCAAACTCACCTAGCCCTGATAACCTGCGCTCACATCAAATCAGCGCACTTCAAGCTACAGAGGAACTACATCATGGGGTCCACACACTGGAATTTCCAAGCAGGAAAGGGAAGTTAGATATCTTACACCCCTTATCATCCTAGTAATAAAGGACAGCTATAATTGTGATATAAGCTCTTTTTGAAACCACTTAGCATCCAAAAGGCTAATGTTAAATATAAGATAAAAGCGTGCTTGCAGTCACATTCCAACGCACCGATTAGCAGCAGTGGAATCAGGCAAAGAGTCTGCGTTATACTTTGAGAAGTGTTGCAGCATGTGCTGCTTGGCATGGTCCCTTCCAACTGCCCTGGAAGTCATACGAGCTGCCCTTTCAATCACAGAATCCCAGAATGGCAGGGGTTGGAAGGGACCTCCGGCGCTCATCCAGTCCGACCCCCCTGTTAAAGCAGGGTCACCCAGAGCAGGTTGCACAGGACATTGTCCAGGCGCGGTTTGAATATCTCCAAAGGAGACTCCACACCCACCCCGGGCAGCCAGTTCCAGTGCTCTGTCACCCTCAAAGAAAAGAAGTTCTTCCTCATGTTCAAGTGAAACCTCTTATGCTTCAGTTTGTGCCCATTGCCCCTTGTCCCTACCGCTGGGCACCACTGAGAAGACTCTGGCTCCATCCTACTGAATTCCCCCCTCCATGGATATACAGGAGGCTACACCTTCTCCCCCACGCTACTTTATGTTCTGTAAGTCACAAGGAAGTACTTAAATGTAGTTTGTGATATCGTATCCCTGCATTAGGCTTCATGTTTGTAAGGGAACTGCAGAAGTTTAATTACGAGAGGAACAGCCCCATGCTAGCACCAAAGGAGTAGTGAGGCCCTCCAGCAAGGAGGCAGGAATGGCTTAGCCCACTCCCAGTGCTGTGCATGCATACATCGCACTTGCCAGCCTAACAGAGGCAACCAGACGCATAAACAATCACAACAAGATGCAATGTTCTGTCCTTGTTGCATTTGCCTCATGCAAACTCCAATGATAATTAAAAATCATAAATAATGGTAAATAAAAATCATAAACCTCAACACTTCTAACACCATTCTAGAGAATTGCCCCCCAAAACTAGAAATAATATTCCCTGTAAATACCTCACTGTTTCATTGGAATTTGTCTTGGGAGATTTCCCAGTACTTTATAAGAACAGCAATGTTACAAAAAGGTAAATGAGTCACAGGGGTGCAGGTGAGCTGGTGGCAGAACCAGTGGTAGAACCTAAATCTGTTCCTTTCTGGTAACATTCCTGCCAAGAACCCATGTCCCAGATTAACTGTGATCCAGAAAGAAAATCCAAATTATTTTCCAAAAGGTAGCAACCTGTTAACAGCAAAGACTATCTGTCACATAAGCTAAAGCTGGAAATGTATTATTTATTATCTCAACAACGGCTGTCACAGGCGATCCCTGGCATTCGGTTAAGAAAGGCAAACTTGCAACAGGCATCGAACTAAAGCTGGCAAAGGGGCTGTTAACACCCTGAATAAGGCACTATTCACCATAAATTATTTATATACAGTACTTACTATAGTGCTTCTCGTTTTGCTGTCAAAGAAGGAATCTCTGTCAGACAAATCAAATCTGTTAAAAGATTAGAAGGAAGCCCATTAGCTTAAAAAAAAAGCCAGTAATTTCCTGCTCTTCTTGACCCCTTCGATATTTTCATTTCTCCTGGGGACCTCTCATAGCTTACATTAAAGAACAGCTTGTAGAAGCCTCATTAAAAAGAAATTCCACCCCAACTCTGATATTTTAAAGGGGCCGCTTATACGTTTCACTGGGTTTATATATTTATAGGTTTTTCTGCACAAGACTGTTGATGCTCATTTAAGTTAAATTTAAGTTAAATTTCCAACCGCTGCTGGCCTTGAATTTCTCCTAATAATCTTTACAGTTTGTCTGTACCTTAAACCCTGTGAGGCCACTCTTGCCTCCCTTATTCAGCAAGGACAGAGGTGGTCTCACTGAAAAAAGCCACCACTGCAAAGAGCGTAAGGCACATCCAGGCCTAACCTGAGGAGCATCTTTTGGGCCTTCTCTGAGCCAACAGGCTCCTTTGCTGCAGGAACATCCAACATGCAAATAAATAAATAAATACAATTCCCGCAAGTCCAAGGACATGTCCAATGTCACATATGTAGACTGGCCCAGCTAGCATACACATCAGTGTTCTGCATTCCTTGATTAAAAACTAAAAACCCTGTATGCACAGTGAAGAAACCCTGCCCTAGGACTGTTACTTGTTCCAGCTGGCACGTACATAAATACAGCCTTCAAAGCTGCTCCTCTGGGATGCTGGCCAAGGAAGAGCAGCAGCAAAGCAATCCAGGGCAGTCAAAACTTTGGCTGGGCCCCACCTTATGATTTTTTCCTACACCCACGTTTACAGCTATTCTTACTGATCTGAAATCAATGGCAAAGCTACCGCGGACATCATAGTGTTTCCCAAGTCAAGGCCGGGTTGGCAGTACATGTGTAAGCTGCCCATACCAGATGAATTAAATTATTCTGAAATCTATCAACCCACATCTCTGGCTACAAATTTTACCGAGCGTTTGCTTTTACAAGGAAAAGAGACTATTGTAAACCACGTTCTGCATCTTGTTTGGCAATCTAGCAGTTGATGTGCATAGTTATATCGATATGTGTTATATACCACAGCAGCAGCACAGAGGTTTCACAGAGGGGCTCCACAAAGCCTCATTCCTCAACAGTGAGGAAAAAAAATAAAATGCAAAAATAGAAATATTCTTTACAGTAATCACTAACAAAGTGTTAATGTTCATTTTGCCTTTCACCTTTTGGTGCCTTAGCTGCTATCAGGAAGGGTGGAACCTGTTGACACGGACGTTTACAGAAAGCTTTCACTTACAGGTGCTGTTTCTCTCTGGAGAAGGGGTAGGAGAGGCGCTTCACCGTCTGAGGTTTGTGCTCTGCTACTTTTGGCTGGATAGGCTCTGTTATTTTTTGAATTACAGAATTAATCTTTTTCAGAAGACCATGGGTCTGATTGATCTGATACATCTGAGTGGGCAAAGAGAAAAATATGAAAAGTTTATTGCTCTTTGGTTATCTGTAAGAGAGAGTGAACTGTAAGGAATAAACTATCAATTATGTAAATACATCGGAATCAACTACCGAGGAGTATAGCTTACCTTCTTGAAAGCATTCAGAAACACGTAGGTAGATGGGAAAGTCAAACCAAGGCAAGCAGAGGGAGCCTATTGCTTTTTGTATGAGCCAAAGCACAGCTCGTGTTTGATTCCAAATAATCAGGCTGGGCTGTTCAGTGAAGATCTACTTGGAGATATACCGATATACTCAGCTCCCGAGACTCCCACTCCTCTGGCACTTACTATTTTCTTGGTGCAATGGGACAAAGAAATGAAGGAGCTATGGAACCTCTGTGCAAAACAACAGAAGTGGTCTCCTCTCCCAGGAGGCTTTTCTGGGAATATTGTGCAGGTTTCAGGAGTTTACCCTCTTCCATATAAAGGAACCAAAGTATTTTGGATCGTCTACTGCAGATCTGCAGCACTAACTGCAGGAATTGTGTTAGCAGGTCACAAAAGAGTGTTACAGGCTCCCTGCTCTGCACCACAAAAACTCTGTGCAGATGCAGGGCAGGGCTCCCAGTACACAAAGATGCTCAGCTGGAAAGCAAGGCTTTAGGGGTCTGAGGGTGTTCTCAGGCACATCACTTCTCCTGGGCAATGCCTGCAGGCTTAGGTGGCCTCTTTCACACACAAAAAGCCCCCAGAAAATGCCCACCCTAGCTTTTCTTTGGTGGCAAAGCAGCTTAAACCTCAGGATCACAACAGACTTTTTTAATCTAATTGTGCTTCTGATTAAAATTGGTGGTAAGTGAGGCAATAATGGGGATTAATATGAAATCCAAACCAAAAGTGTCGTTTTAGTGTTGTAATAAATGACACTGGGCCTTGAGACTGTCTCTTGCTCCATTATAGACTTCCCTCTGCAGTCTGGGACGTGCACTTAGTATGTGTTTAAATATTAATCCATCTCTAAGCTATGCTCACTGAACAGGTAGCTATCTATCACAGATGATTTAGAATTGATGAAAATATGCTGTCATTTCTTTAATGATATTTCAAATATTCTGAAAGGTAATTTATTTGGTGGTAGCATAGTCCCAACTCCTCCAAATATGACTAATGACATATACGAAGAGTCGCTAAATCCAGCGAGACTACTGCACACAAATTGTTACTCTTATGTTCATCTTTAGCAGTCTAGCATTTTGAGTGAGAAAAACCCTCCAAAATGCACACATAAATTTAATCACCAATTGCAACTTCCTCTTTTAAAACATGCTGAGAGGATGAGGCGTTGTAGGAAATCACTCACATTGCGTACAAATAGTGGTAGGGGCTGAGAATTCTGGATTTCCATTCCTCCTTCCAGTCATTCTTCCTGCTGTCCCCAGGAAGCAAGTTTGCCACTCTCATTTTTTGTACAGTTAAGTTAACGATTTAAAAAATGCTTGTGGGAAGAAAAGTCTACATTTGTAAGGCGCTTAGGGATGAGCAGATGTTTAAACTATGCCTTCCAGAGGGAAAAAAGAAAATTAGTACTCACCTTTTTTGTGGGCATTTTGAGCTTAAGAAATTCTGCCTCTCGACACAATACATTCCACGGTGCGTGTATTTTTACAAAGCCAACCCCATGGATTTTAGTCTTAAAAAAAAAAAAAAAAAGCAAGAGAAAAGGTTACTGATGAGAGGGAATTCAGTATTTTTCCCCATGTGTTTCATGCATGTTTAAGGAACAGTCTACTAGTGCCAACATGCTAAATCTCATTCGAGACAGCTAGGTTCTAACAACAGGACAATCACTGAACACCTCTCTGTGCTGAGCTGCTACAAAACGTGACTCAAAAATGCTATTGTCTTCCAAAATGATTGCCACAAGGGTAAACAGATAAAAATTGTTTGGGAAATAAAAGCTAATGACTACGGACACAAATACAGAGTAAGCCAGTTAAATTTGAAGCACAGGTATCCAGCCAAATGGTATGATTTGGTGAGTGCGTTGGAATTAACAGAGTCCCTGCTGCCTCCTAAGAGCTGCTCAGTATCTCAAAGGACCAGAGCCGCAGTAAGAAAGAAGCAGCCTCAGATACAGATGTGAATATCTACATTAAAACATGGCACATTTTAATTAGGAAAACTGCTAGGAAGAATTCAACAAAACAAAAGAGGGGGGAAAAAAAAATGTTAACGATAATATTAGGGGTATGCTTGCATCCCACTAGTTCTCCGAGCTCTATTCTAGATGGCTGGACATAGGGGTTTGCTGCTGGCACTCCCACATCCACCCGTATTTACTCCCATGGGAATAATTGTTTAAAAGCCATTGAACAAATGATACCAAACTAGCAGGCATTCTGCAAACAGAAGAGAAGAAGGAAACTTTCTCTTGAAATGAATAATGAATCTTTCTAACCTTGCTGCTGCATCAGCTCATGCAGTTATTGGAATCGCCAGCTTTCATGCAGCTATATTCTGCACTGGCTCTCTAGAAATCGGTTGCCCAGAGGACATAAATGACTGCCAGCCTTTCCATAAGGCATGGCTTCCAACCCCCCTTTGAAATTACTTTATTGGAAAGAGTTTAAGTGACTTGGTAAACATCATCTGTTTAAGAAACCTTTGCTCTTTTTGCAATTAGTAGAGCTTCCAATGCAACTTCGTGGCAAGCTTTTCAAGCCCTAGTGATTGCAGGTTTTTCCCCCTACGCTGGTGGGCTGGATACGGAAGCTGATGTAAATCCCTGCGACTTGCTTTCATCTCTGTACGTTCCTGATACGGTTTGGTATCTTGCACTGAAAGGACAGGGTTCTCTCTCTTTTGCAGTACCCTGGCTTGAACGCTGAGCCCTTCTGCATCGTTTGAAATCACATTGCATGGCATAGGTGGGGACCTCCCACTTTGCAAAGGATTTAAATACCTATGACATGGCACATGCAAACTTCCACTTTGCTACAACAACTTGTAATTTTGACAGAAAGCAAGTCTTATATTCAGTTGGGGGACAGAGAAGTGAAAGGGGTTTTTGCATTATACCATGCAAAAACATATATTTTACTTTTCTCTCTATATATATCATTATGTACATGCCTGTAATTTGTGAATAACAGGTGGCAGATTATTTTTTTTTATACACTCTGATCACAGGTTTAATCTCAACTTTTAGATCCTGTAAATAAAACCAGTACAAATGTTTACCCTCTCGCACAGGAGTTTCAGGCATATGGGTTGGATCAGTTAATTGTAATAGCTTTCTTTGAAATTAATACGGCTGTGCCTATTTCTACTAATCACACACTGGCAGTACTTCACACACATCATTTTTTATATAGTCTAATGGTCTTTTAATAGAATATACTGTTTTCAGGGTACAGGTGAAAGGCGTTACAAGCTGTACTGTTCCTATCTAAGAATGGAAAGAGCAAACTGTAATACAGACCCACGTGCTCAAGCTAGAGCGTGTTCCAGAACCTCCTGAACAAATTTAATTCTCTTCAAATCTATATCAAAGTATAAAAATGTCACCCTCTGTATCAGGTATTTTTAATCAGAACTGGAATTACCGGTGGATTCAAACCACGGCGTACCTGTAAACCCACCAAACTGGGATTATGGTTCAGGGGAATTTAAGCCTCACTTCTACATACAGCAACACATCAACAAGCTGTGTTGCAACAGTGGATGTGCCACGAGCCCTGGCCAAGAAAAGTAAGAAACTTCACCTCATTGGGGCATTTACAACACCTCAGCCCATCCCTCTGAAGTGTATTAAATCAGTGGGCAAGGATGGCGCTGCCAGGACTGAAATCAAAGTCTGGAAGAATTGAGCTTGTGTAACACCTAGATCAGAGGCAGGTTCACAGGAATG